TCTCTCTCTCTCTCTCTCTCTCTCTCTCTCTCTCTCTCTCTCTCTCTCTCTTTTGAGGCCAGATCACTATATTACTACTTGATGCCTAGATCTCACTATGTAGACCAGGCTGGCCTCAAACTCAGAGATCACTTGCCTTTGCCTCCAGAATGCTAGATTTAAAGGTGTGCCACCACATCTAACAATGCACTCTTTTTTAAAAAGTCTACTGGTCCCCTTAGTGCTGCCTGTATGCACATGGGTGTAGGAGTATCTACTAGATCATGAGTAGCCTCTCTGGGGCATCCCTGAGAAAACTGATTCTCCTTTCTCCAGAAGACCCCAGTTGTCAATAGGTCCTCAGAAAGGGGTGGGACTTCATGAGCTCTTCTCCAAACATGCCAGGGTGTGAGCTGGCTTGATTTTGTGCAGGTCTTGTTCATGCTGTCACAGCCTTTGAGAGTTCATGTAGGCCACACTCCCACCATGTCCAACAAATGGGCAACACTCCCACCATGTCCAGCAAATGAACAAGTGAAGCAAGAGTGAGCTGCAGTCTCAATGTCTCAGAGAAACCAAATATGCTTAATTCAGAACTAAGACACCTTCAGTGTCTCCGAGAGGAACACTACACTATGGTTCTCTCTTGAGTTACAAAGCAAGTGATAGGTGACCTCATCATCCCAGATCAAAGACAAAGCTGTATCTGCATTCCTGTGAGCTGGTATATGTGTCTACTTGTGTAGTGGGTATTTGTTCCTGTATAACAGATGACCCAGTACACCTACTCACATGTGTGGGTGTGTGAGCAAAAATTCTGCACATTCTTGGAATAGTTACATGCTGTGGAAAGTTGCTAATGATCAAGTTATACCAGGACAACACCGTCAAACACATGAGGAGAAGGGCAACAGAGAGACCATCAATATGTGCCTACTGCAGTGCCATCAAAAGAGAAATGTGGTGGGCTCACAGCACGGCACTCAAAATAATACAGAGATAAGTCCTTACGTGTGAGGGACTCAGGTCTCAGCTCCCGAGCTCTCACCATCCTTCCCCACTCCTGTGAGCACAGTGTCTGGGATTCTGACACCAAAGTCACCTGCCTCTTGTCTCCAAGGTTCATTGTCCAGATCTCAGCCCCTCAAGAGCTCTAAGGAAATAGGATCTTACAAATGAATATTTCTGTGCTCTGGTTTTTGGTTTCATTCATAAAACACAAAATAAAAGCTGGCTTCTTATATCTAGTGAGGTCACATGGAAGAATGAAGCTATCAAAACTATCTTTGAAGAACTACCAAATGATGGGGCAGAAATTTAAAAAAAAAAATTGGAAATCCCAGACATGAGTCAGGACATTCCAGGGCTTTGAGGGCTCCTCACTATGGATCTCCTGATCTGGCTCCCAAATCCCTGAGAGGTTTCAGTGACACTAAGTACTCAGAACAGTAGCACACAAAGTAGGCATGACAAGCCAAACCTCAAGCGTGTGCAAGACAGACTCACACCTGATCAATGCCTAGGACACCGGGTGAAGGGAGCGGGACACCGACCAGCAGTAAATTATCTTGTTACAGAAGTGAGGAGGTGATGACTTTAAGCACACAGCCCTCCCATTTCCCTTCCACAGAAGAAGACCCACATACACAGGGCTTCTAAACTATTAACCCTGTGCAGGAAACCCACAGGCCTGGGCCCACTGAGGAGATACAACTCTGGACTGTAGCACCCAAAGATCTGGGACAAATCACAGCTTTCAAGACAGAATGAGTGCACTCCGGTTGTCTTCTGTGTCTACATACTATGTCCATTGAAGTGTTGTGGGAATTCGATCCATTCGGCCAGTGGTATAAGGGTAACAGGCCTAGGGGGCATCTTCTCTGGGTATGTGAGCAGATAAGAACTGAGGAGGAGGGTCAAGTTCTCTCTCTGGAACCTGGAAGGTTTCCTGACCCCATGGATTGGTGAGCTGGTACTGAGCTCTCACCATCCTTCCCTGGTAGACGAGGAGGCGGCAGCACCACTTCATTCTATATTCATTGAATATGTTATTCCCATTTCATCCCTTAATAAATTACTGGTCATACTTCTGTGGGTTCTCATTTCAGAAGTCCTTCCTGCCCAACGAACTGTGAGTTGCCTGATGTCCAGTCACTGTATTCCACTCCACCAAAGAAGGTCTCTACCAAAGAACATAAGAGGGAAAAAAAATACTGACTCTGAGATGAGGGGACATGTTGCCCTTGCCTTCCTGAGCTGGAATGCTGGACTCACTGAGATACAGAGCTCTGAATCCTTCCCAGTAACCCTTGTCTTCCCAGGGACCTGCTTAGTGTCACCACATAAAGAAAGCAGAACACAGAAACAGCCTGTTAGTCTCCCAAAGCATGAACTGAAACCTGAAAAGATGTGCAACAGCTGAGGTTGAATGTGGGACAGGCTCCGCTCTGCTGGTCACCCTCGTCTCATCCCTATCCAGGGAGAATTTGCCAGAATTCACCAAGAGGACAGTGGCTATGACTACTGAGCTGTCCTAAACCCCTGAAAGCAACATGGCTCCTCTCCATGCTCACCATATCACCTTTGCTGAGAAAATCCTCCTCCTTTCCTTGATGGGAATACCACATAGTTGTTGGTGCTTCTGTGACATGGCCAGAACACCCTGTCTCTGGTTCCCGTCAGAAGTTCATTGTTCAATGACTTCAGGAGTTAAGAAATTGTAATCTCCTCCATCACCTGAATCAGACACACTTCTCACTGAGACACATGTTGCAGGACCAGGGTTCTGAGCAGTCATTCTTCATTGCTCTTGTGTTCTCTTGTCTGAAGACTGCTGATAGGTGAGACTGCAGTAAACAAGGAAGAGGACAGAGAGCAAACACAGTGGGCGAGGCCACCGTGAGGGTCTGTAGACAGCTAAGCCGGACTCACTGGGTTTGAAGTGTAAGGGTAAACATCATGTTTAGAGGATAAATGTGTTAAGTATGTAATACAAAATTATCTGTAGCTTGTATAACAGCCATGATGAAGTTGCTCCTACTTTGAGTGTATCTTGTTACCTGGCCAGAGATGGACCACTTCCTGGTGCAGTTAGGCTATTAATAAAAATGAAAAGGCTGATGGTTGGACATTTCACAGCCTCAGCTATTCCTCAAGGTAATGGATCACAGATTAAACAGGCTAACCGCTAAGGTCTGCATTTTATGAGATGCTTGCTTGCTTGGATGCTTGAAGCATCTGCAGGATGTTTGTTACAAGATTAAGCTTTGCCCACACTCAGACAGGGATGGGAGTTCATTTGGCTCCCCAAAATTATAACTTTGTGGGGGGTTTTCCTTTATAATTCTTAGGCTAGCAATGGTCAGGGCCTTTCCTGGCAAACTCCCTCTGGTTTGGTTCTCCCTGATCTCTTTTTTTTTTAATTTCACGTTTTTATTAGTAGACAGATGGGCAGAAAAAGACAAAATCACTAAGGGGGAGTCAACACAAAATGCATCGGATAAACTTCTCATAAGTTAAACTGAAAAATCCGTCTGCAATTTTAGCTAAGAAAACCAATATTAAAGTTGGGTGTGTCCGCTGGTTTCAGTTGAATTGCATCTGCATCTTTTTAGTTGTAAATGTAAACCTTGTGGATCAGGGCGGGAGGGAGGGCACTCTTCCAAGAGAGCTGTGCACTTCCCTTCCAATGGACAGGATCAAACATAAGGGAACCAGCAAATAATGGCCAGGAGAGGGCCAAGAAGACTACAGAAGAAGATAGTGTGGCTAAGAGAATGCTGGAATGATGAGAGAAGTGGGGTGACTTTGAGAAGCGACACCAGCCTTGTGATACTACACATTTTGTCCACTCAGCCTGAGGATACATGAAGTAAAGAGCACTCACCCAGTGGTGGGGGGGAGGGTAGACTAAAACCTTGTTCTTTCCACACCAAGTGACCAACTCTACTCAGAGGGCTCTACCTGCAGCCGAAACCGCCATCTACTCCCAAGAGAAAAAACACTCAAGTGTTTTTCCACAGGATGTGTTCTCAAAGTCTGTGACGGCCAACTGCTGCAGGTCAACATAGCCTGCACTCCTGCCGATTTCCAACCGTGCCTTCAACAGCAATGTCGAGGTCCACCTCAACCTCAACTTGCCTCTCTGGCTCCCTGAGTCAACCTGCAACGCAGGCCAGCAGGGCACCTCCCACAATGCCAAGGTGTCTAGCATGTCCAGGTGTGAGATCCTTTAGCACGAAAGGCTTATGTTTAGGGTGCCAAGAGAGTAAGATCCAACTACTAGCTGTAACTTTCGGGGTAGGCGCAGGGGGAGGAAGATGGGCACTATCACAGGGTCTGCCTCCAGGTCTGCAGGCTAGGGAGCACTGAGGGGACACCAAGGAGTGCCTCTGGGAACTTCTCCTTACTGTCGTCCACACAGCACAGCAGCCATGTGTAGCTAGAGTTTTCCTGCCTTGCCCACAGTCAGGACAAATCTTTGTCACCCTCCAGTCCCACAGCCGCTCAGACCCAACCAAGTAAACACAGAGACTTATATTGCATACAAACTGTATGGCTGTGGCAGGCTTCTTGCTAACTGTTCTTATAGATTAAAATAATCCATTTCCATAAACCTATACCTTGCCACGTGGCTGGTGGCTTGCTGGCGTCTTCACATGCTGCTGGTCATGGCGGCGGCTGCAGTGTCTCTCTGCCTCAGCCTTCTGCTTCCCAGAATTTTCCTCTCTCCTTGTCCCACCTACTTCCTGCCTGGCCACTGGCCAACCAGTGTTTTATTTATTGACCAATCAGAGCAATTTGACATACAGACCATCCCACAGCAGCCATGTTCCTGAGTCACTAGATGCATGTACAGCCCTGGGCCCATGGAGATTAATATCAGTTATTTCAGGACCAGTCTCAACATTCTCCTTTAATAACAGAGCAAACTTTAGAGGCCAGAGAACAGCTGGGAAATAGCATTCATTCAGGAGCGTTTGAAGAGTGACTGAAAACCCTGAGATCAGAAAGGAGGAGGAAGCATGGAAGGCAGGGCTGCCTACTGGACAGTGGAGGATCTGTCCTCCCTCCTCCGTCCTCCCCAGTTCCTGTCTGCCCTTTGGTTTCTTTCTGAGCTGTGATCTGAAGGTAAGAATGGACACTGGCGCTCCAAGATCTTAACATCCTATCCTTCTGAAAACTGGTTTCACATCATAGCAGTTTGCTACACCAGGAACAGAAATCTCATTTCAAACGTGAAGTCCCTGGCTGGTGAAGGCTGGAGCTCAATCTTGGCTCAAATCTGGGAGACAGTTGCCAACAGCTGCCTACTAGAAATGCCTGCAGTCAACTGGGGCCCCGCCCAAACAGAGGCCCCGGGAAGCGCCATGGCCAAAGCACATTGAGAAGAGAAAAACCTCCAGATCATATCCAAGTCACACACAGCCACCACGATCACTACCAGTATAAGCAGCTCAATGAAAACCAAAATCTTAACACATGCACCTAGGATTAATACTGAATAATTCAAAGTGGCTACTTAAATAAAAAAAACAAAACTTCATGTGAGAGTATCTGAGATGTTTCCGCTCCCAACAGTGGCCACTAGTACTTTTCACTCCCCCTCAGCAGCATCAACCAAACTGGTATAATTTTATAATTTTTAATTCTTTGTTTTCACAACTAAAAATCCACACACACTAACCTCCACTTCCCCCCGCCCCCACCTGCCCCCTCGTTGGTAGAAAAAAAGTTACCCTACCTTTAAAATAAATAGCAACCAAGTGCTCAGTTCTATGTAAAGTATGAATATTTATTTCAGGCTTTAGATTCCAATCGATTCCAAAAAACAAAATCTGATTTCTCTCCTCAGAGTAGCTGTAGCCTCCATGTTGGGACGATGTCACAGAGGCAGAAGCAGCACATTTCATCAGGCTTAGCAAGAGTAAGTCCCTGATGCCCACCGCATCCCAGCCTTAGGAAGGGAAAGAAACAAAATTCACCACCACGGGACTGAACAAATGCACATGCACTAATGGAAAGGAGCAGCTAAACCTTGGCAAATTGGCTTTTTTTTTTTTTTTTGAAGTTTGTTTTGTGGGGTTTTTTTGTTTGTTTGTTTGTTTGTTGTTGTTTTTTGTTTTGTGTTTTTTTTCCCCCATTTTCTTTTGCTACCCAATATATGCAGCACTTGTGGACTCCCAGTGGTCCCCAGCTTTAAACACATTAATGTCTTAAACAGACTAATCTTCGAGAATCTAAAAACAGACAAACGTGTTTTGCTGTGAACATTCTGCAGAGATGAAGTGAGGTGGGAGTTTGAAGGGTGGTGGCTGTTTTTGTTTTTTAAAAAGAATCAATACAGTGATGAGAGGGTCAAGAACGCAAGAATTCAGACATTCCGTGGAGGGCACTTTCTCTCCAGTAAGGTCCATAAAAAGGAGCAAACTGAGATCCGCAGGGGAGTCAGCTGGAGCTGTGTGTTTCCCCACCCCATGAGTAAGTTTTTGCTGAGGGGCCACCATAGATCCCCACTTGCTCCCCTCCCTTTGGCCCGAGAAGTCAGGGCAGTACAGGGGCACTGAAGGAACATGTCACGACTCCTCATTCCCAGAATCATCATCATCATAACAGTCGGCATCTTCTTCCTCCTCGTCTTCATCATCGATGTCGTCGTCATACAAGTCGTCATAGAGCAAATCTTAGCTGTTGTCATTGGAAGGCACTTTAGTTTTGATGCAGTACTCTGCCAGGGTTGTGGGGACCTTCACTCCATCCTTTTCTGCTTCATCCTTAGTGGCCGAGACCTGTTTCCTAATGATCTCAGCGTACTCCTTGTCTTTTCCTTTACTGTCTCTCCATTTCCTGAACATAACTGAGGCGTCCATGTTGGCTGGAGAAAAGGTGTTGGGCTCATTAAGCAGTGAGATTACACTTAACAGGATAGTCCTCACATTCTGAGTAGGATTCCACCTTTCAGAGGGCAGTTCTCCACTCTGTGGGTCATCTACAGGCGGATGAAGAATTGAAATGCATACATCTCCATTCTCATAAATGTTGGGGTGCCACATTTTGGTCAAGAATCTGAAGGTAGGTGGTGAATATGGGTAGTCAATAGGAAATTTAATATGTGCCTTGAAGTAGCCGCCTTCGTAGAGGGTGTTAGGGGGTCCGAAGATGGCCACCTCCCAGTTGTAGAGGTCGGACTCATCCACCAGGGTGATCCGGAAGCCCTCCACCGGTTCCTCCTGCAGGGATTTCAGCTCAAGCATCAAGGCTTTTTGCGAGCTGGTCATCTGCTGCTGGGCCATCGCGGCGGCGGCCGTGCGGGGCCGCGGCCCCCGCAGCCAGTGCTCTTAACCACGGAGATTTGCCTCTTTTTAGTTGTTCTGGTGTGGAATATTCCTTTACACAGTATGAATATCTGTTGCTGTGATTGGTTTAATAAAGAAGCTGACTGGCCAATAGCTGGACAGGATGAGATTAGGCAGGAGAACCAGACTAAGGACACTGGGAAGAAGAAGGGCAGAGAGAGAAGAGTTGCCCTCCAGACACAGAGAGGAAACAGAAGGCAAAAGATAAAAGAGAGGAAATGCCACATGGCAGAATGTAGA